AGAACAGATACTATGCTTTGATCTCAGTCAATAGGCCGAAAATCTATAACAGCGACGGTGATAAAAGAGGCATTTTTCAGGTGCACAGTATCAAACAATGTAAACTGAGAAAAGCAAAAAAAAACAAAAAAAAGTTACTATAAATAAAATAACATTGTCTGCTGAATTATGGCTAAATCATTATTAAAAGAAATGTTCACGAGACGGTATTTGGCAAGAAAGAAAGAAAGAAAGAAAGAAAGAAAGACGTGTTTCATGTCTCCTACCAATACATCATAAATAATGAACTATTCTGTTTTGATGACGTGGAAAAGCAAGACATACGAAGGACAGAAAGAAGGGAAGATAAAATTGTTTAATGGCTGTCTCAGTAAAATGGGGAAAAGTTCTCAATTTCAAATCTTTTCATTTGTACCCACTTCTTAAAATACAACCAGCATTCGTATTGCAATATTTAGTCAAAGTTGTCAGACCCAAATATGTTAACGATGTGAGAGGGACATTTCTATGGATAATTTATTGTCATAAAATTCGAAATGAGCTTATTCAATCATTAACTGAAGAATTAAGAATAAGATTCATCAGAAAATTAAATAAAAAAACAACAGGGAAATTTCACGGGTCTTTCTAGTAGTAACAAAATTAAAAATTTGTGTTGATATTTGTGACCGTGCATGCGTATATATATATATATATATATATATATAAGAAATAAGAAAAGATACCACGCAATCAGATGCGATACGATACTTAAAAAAGCAAACACATGAAACCCATTGATGCATCAGGATGCGAAACTCGAACACTACCAACAGAGACATAATACATGTCCCAGGAGACTATATATATATATATATATATATATATATGTGTGTGTGTGTGTGTGTGTGTGTGTGTGTGTGTGTGATACAATTGGAATTATGACACCATTAGTTAATGATCATTTTCACACGTGAATTTAAATTTAAGATTCACAGTATTCTTCAAACTATCAATGGTGGTAAATTACTGAAATAGAAATGGCTAAAAGAGGAAAGACTGGAAGAGAGGGAATATATATATATATATATATATATATATATATATATATATATATATATATATATATTGTAATAAAAAGAAAGAACAGTAAGATATATAATCCGGTGTTCTTATTGATATTTTTATTTTTACAAAAAGGTGCTCATTTTAAATTTATAGAACATAAATATTATAAACTAACTGATTTAAAATATGGTTTCTTCGCTACACAAGAATTACCATGGTTCAAAAACAAAAGCTAAAAACTTCAAATTTAATTATATAATTGAATTAAAAGCATTAGTTCTGTTTCATCTTCATACGAATTTTGCAATTAAATTTGAAGTTTCGCTTCGCTTTTTGAAACATGGTAATTCCTGTATATAAAAAAAAAAAATATATATATATATATATATATATATATATATATATATATATATATATATATATATACTTGTGTGTGTGGACAGAGAAATGAAGTGTATCCATATGGTGATTGTCGAAAAAAAATTATTATTTTACACAAAAAATGTATATATTTTCCATTATATTCTCCTTTCTTCTTAATGCACTTAAACCAAAGCTTCTGCATTAATCGAACCTTATAGTGGGAACATTTTTATAAAATATATCAGTTAAAAATCTCCGACTCCGGATATATTCATTGGGGTACATAGAAATGTTTTTGTATGTGTGCAAATATGTAAACAAATGCATGTATAATTAATGCACATTTAGACAGCAAGTAATCATTTTAAACAAGTTTATTAAAATCATCTGACAAGGTCGGTTAGTTTGATTTTTTTCCAATTTTCAAATAAGTTGTTCACCATGCAGATTAAAATTGTAGTTAATTCAAATTTCATGTTTTTATTCTGTTTTTGTTTTTAAGGACTTTTAACCGTCTCGTTTATTATCAGCAACTAAATGTTTTCACGATTATTAACCGCATTTGTCTACCATACTGAAGACAGTTATTTTCTAACAACGATCGTCTTTTTAATGAATCTGTAATTAATTAAAATTGTATCCGCAGTAGATTTATGAACAAAGTAAATATGGTGTATAATCATGGCAGTATTTTTTTATATTCAATGCGAAACAAAATGCCCGTGAAATATTCCAAAACAAAAAGACGGCCCCTACTGAGAAACCCAATGAATCAAAAATATATTATCCTGACTACTAATTCTATCAAATCTACAAATGAATCTTTTTAAACTCAACATAAAATTTGTTACTGCTACATCCAAAACAATAAAAGACTTAGTCAATACTAAACAAAACAAACCTGAAGGAGTTTACTCTGTTGCCTGTAATAATTATCACAAAAAATACACAAGAAAAATGTTAATGAAACTAAATAAAAGATCATATGAGCACAAAAGGGACATTTTAAAA